TAGTTTGGGAAAGTGCCCACGAGTTCTTGTACTGTGAGAAAGGGAGAAAAGGACCTCTTTCTCTACCTGCTCTTTCCCATGCATAATCTTGTAAACCTCAATCATGTCACCCCTCAGTCGTCGTCTCTCCAAGCTAAAGAGACCTAAGCGCCTTAACCTTTCCTCATAGGGAAAGTGTTCCAACCCTTTTATCATTCGAGTTGCCCTTTTCTGCACAGAGCCCACTGTCTTGGTCTGTGGTAGAAGAGCTAGTTTTGAGTCCGGTAGCACCTCAGAGAGCTGAGATTTTCAGAGTGTTTCGAGATCCGAAGCTCCCTTCATTAGGTATCTGACAGGTGGAGCTTTGAGCCTCAAAAGATTATACCCCAAAAATGTTGTTGGCCCCTAAGGTGCCACCAGACTCGAATGAAACCAACTAGAGGTTGAAGGGTTTACATTTCCCTCTACCTTTGCCACACGGTCCCGATCCAAGTCACAGCTGAAGGCGCACGCGGTTTGCTTTTTACGGACCAAAGTCGGTAAACCTTGTCCGGGCTGTACCACTTTAAACCTCAGGTGAATGAAAAAGACAAGGGAAAAAAGACTATGGAAATCACACAGCTTAAGAAGTGTTAAATGGGGTTGCGAGTTCTGGTTTGGGAAACCAACGCTCCCTCTAAGCTGTGGAGTCTTGTGAGCAAAAATCCTCCTTTGTGAGCTACGGGCATTAAAGTTGTGAGCAAGCAATTTGGCTACAGCATCAATTAGGCATCTGGAGCGACATCCATCCTGAGTGAAGACAAAAATGTGTGAGCCAGAGGCTAAAGAAACTGTGAGCTAGCTCACACTAACTCTGCTTAGAGGGAACACTGGGTGGAACCTGGGGAGGGTGGTGTTTGGGGAGAGGAGGGGAGAGAGCCAGTTTGGTGTGGTTAAGTGCGCGGACTCTAATGTGGGAGAACCGGGTTTGATTCCCCACTCCTCCACTTGCAGCTGCTGGATGACCTTGGGCAAGCCGTAGTTCTGATAAGAGCTGTTCTTGAAAAAGAGCAGTTTCTCTCAGAGCTCTCTCAGCCCCACCTACCTCACAGAGTGTCTGTGGTGGGGAGGGGAAGGGAAAGGAGTTTGCAAGCCTCTCTGAGACTCCTTTGGGTAGTGAAGGG